TTTGTCTCTAGGGGCCACCGTAGTAGAGTTCAATTTGCATGAAAATGGCTTTATAATCCTTCCCAGATTGATGGACAGCAACACTTGTTTCTTTAAGAACTTTCTTAAATTTCTTCCTTGGCATGTTAAAACACACCTGAATGCTCCAGACCAGCAAACTGCCAATGCTCTGGTTTTATAGATGTGCTTACACATCTGTTTTGATTATGCCCTGATAAAAAAAGGTCCAACTTTCTTGGTGCATCCATGTCACAAAAGGAAATGAGTGAGTCTTCATGTTTTAATTAATTTTAAATTCAACACCAATTATAGCAGTTGCTTCCAAATGACATTGACTTTGAAAGTATTCCCTCCACCTTTTTATTCCGGCTTACGCCTTTAAGTGTCTCTTAGTGATCGATGAGTAGCCATAGGATGACAGAGGGAGTGCTGTCAAAGCCACAACAATGATGGATTGTTGTGATAGGAAGTGACTGTTGCTGCCAATGGCGGCCGTCTGCTATAAAAAGAACGAGTCTTAAATAAAGTTTCTTCTATTGAAATAATAACCCAGCCAACAGTCTCTGTACTTTGAATTCTAAACGCCTTATCTACTATTACTCCAGAAGGAAGTGGCACACAAATATGATGAATTTTCCTGTATCGCTAGTAAATAATTGATGATTTGATGAAAGCCGTATTAGAGCCTTTGATGAATGAGATGAGGTAGCTTTATATCTAAACATGTGAATATTTTTTTATATTTGTTTTTATTTTTCATTTTTTTATTTGAAGTCAATCATTTGCCTATAAATATATTGGCATCTCTTGTCAAGCTGTTTCTTAATAATACTTTTTTTTTTTTTTTGAATGAGCAGGAGGCATTTCAGGCTAATGATGTCTTTACATGTTTCTGACATTAGTATAATGAGAAAGCGGGCTGGCTGTGGAGGGCTGGGCTCGAGTCGGTATACCCTGCAGTGATGAGAGAGCAGGAGAAAAGGAGACAGAGGCTATGTGTGTACTCCATGCATTGCAAATTATTCTCTCAGAGCAGAGGGAAGGAAACTTTGAAATGCACACAGGGAAAATTGCACAGGGGCTGTGTATATTTGTGTTTTACCCTGAAGAGGGATCAACTCCACATCTACTCTGCTGCTTTTTGGATTTTTGCAGAACACAGAAAGCTGGACCAGACAAGGCAGAGACAAGTGTGTGTGAAAGGGTGACAACATGATTAGATCAGTCCTCCGAAGGCAGTCTGTTTTCTTTTGTTTTTTTTGTTTGTTCGGGGGGGTTTTTTGGGGGGGGGTGTTGCAGTGTAATCTGCTTAAACTTGAAAAAGCACCTTAGTTGAAGAGGAGATGCCAAACATTTTCAGACAAAAGAAGCATTTTCTGATTAAAAAAAAAAACCTGTACGCACAGGCCTGCCCTCTATGCTAATAGAGTTTTGTCTTATGTAGGATCCAGTAACTAAACAGCAAGAAGTACATTGCAGAAATAAAACTAACAGGATTTGGCAACAACTCGTATTTTTCTTTTTTCTTTTTGTACAAGCAGCCTGTGGCAAAACATCCCTCTTTGAGGACTACCACAGCTACTAGAATCGAGCAGAAAAACCATCACTGTAGGAACACAAATGCTCGAAATATGACATTTGGAACACAGAAAGTGAATCTTCCTCTTGTCTTCTTCATCTTTTATTTTTAAGAAACCTGTTATAATCCCACTAGCAATAAAAAGCAGTTTTGTTTGGACTGGTGCAAAGACGCCAACAGCTCGCTCTCACAAACAATGCATTGCAAAGATATGCACTAGATAAGAAAACATACAAAATATATTTGCTTTTGGTGTTTTGTTTTACTTTATTGTCATATTAAGCCGGGATTCGTCTTTGCCAAGAGGGAACGCTGAACATCAGACAGACCAAACCTAAGTAAAGAATCCTAAAATGTAAACCTGGATTTGTGGAAATGTTCTCCCAAGAGGGCACAGATTTTGTTCTTAAGCTTTATAACCATTCTCTCTCTTAGCTGTTGCTATAAATTACCATTTTAAAGTACTCTTAAGACTAAGAAATAAGTGTCCATGTCACACTAAGTTGTCTCATTTTGTGCTTAATGGAGTTTTTTCTACTGCACCAGTCTTGTATCTCTTAGCTTTGGGAGGAAATGTTGATTTAGGTTTTTTAGCTTCTCTTTTTCTGGATTTTTGAATTATTTGAAAGCATCCCATCAATGTCTGTAATATGATTTTTGAGGCTGGGTCTCCCTTTGTGTTCATATTCAGGTTCTCTCCGTCCCTCATAGAAGACTAGTATGCTGTAGTCGACTTTTTGAGGTGACAGACGTCAACAAGGCCCAAAAACAAGCAGCACACCAGAGAGAAGTCTTCCTCTTCAATGATCTCATTGTGGTAAGTAGACGAAAAGCCTTACACTTTATTAAATTGACAATCATTATGAGATATTCAGTATAAAAATACTGTTTTCATCCTGAGAGTTTCTTTTTCCTTCTTCTGCACACAATCAGACTTTGAAGTTGCTTATTTAGTTATGACAGCTGCAGTCCAACAATTCTTACTTTGGGTCCAGCTTTTTGCAGTGCTTGTCTTTTTTGTGTTATTTCATAACTCTGGCGTCTCCAGGCATTTCTTTTAATTATAGTAAGCAAATAATAATAATCAAAGATCTGTCCTCTACAGAGCTGCTTTAAAGGATGGTAATATAGTTTCATTTCACTTGAGGACAGCACAGATTAGCTGCTCATTTGATCCAAAGTTATATAGATGTGGGAATTATCAAAGGTTTAAATGTTGGACATAATGTTCTCATTAAGAGGCGCATAGGAGTTATCTATCCAATGTATTTAACTGACCTCATAATTATGTCAAATGCCACAACATACAGGAAAGGCAAAAAGCAGCATAGCCATATTACTTCACTTTCTATGGAGGCATAAAAGTAATTGGGACCTGCAGGAGAGGTTGTTAAAACTCCAATTTGAAGTTAAAGACTAAAGAAGCTATTGTCCAACATCACAGTGCAATTCTGTTCATTTGGCACTAAAAGTTAGCGGAGCGATATATTTCGCAAGGATGTCTTCTCGTGACAGCTTTGAAAGCGGAAAAGAAGTTGTCTTTGAAAATTTTTCACTACGGGATGAAAGTGAAGGGGACTTCTCTTTGAATTTGGCCCCTGTTACAGCAGCTTGAAAATGTCAAGAAGTGTTTAAAGTGCCAATGTGATGTATTGGTTTAATACGCCTTTCCTGGTAAATTATGCCTCACAGTAGTGCTGGAAAACAGATATGTCTCATCTTTCTCTATCTGGAAGGTCATTCAGTGGAAAAAAAAAGGAGCTCCATAACAGCCACGATATATCCTGATATAAGCACTGGCGCGCAATCTGAAACACTTGGAAGGTTGTAGTGTACATTAGTATTATCCACTCTCGATGTTGTCACGGCGGGGTGCGCCAGTGTGTTTTTTGAAACAGGACCCAAAAGCAGATGTGGACGAGGAGTTGCAGGTTTAAACAGAAAGCGATCCTTTATTTGGATGATAGCAGGAGTTAAACATGGAACCCTAAGCAAACTAAAAAACACTAAGAAACAAACACTATAAAGTTCTATGACTAAAACAATGGTGGGGATAACAGACGACCTGACAATGACATTCAGAAAACAGAGGACTTAAATACACACGAGGCGATCAGGGGAAGTGGAGACACACGAGGAAACAGCTGACTTGGATATACATAATGATGCACAGGAAAGAGTAAAACTAACCACATGAACGCAGAACACAAGACCCTTTTCAAAATAAAACAGGAAACATGCAGACTTAGACACGACAACACAAGCTTAACAGGCCTAACACACATGACAGACTAGACAAGGAACCAAACACAGAAACCAACGAGACAGATGATAAACAATCACTAACCTAAACCTCCACTGACCCCTAAATAAGAACAATACAAACTTATAACCAAACTAACATGAAAGCTTCAAAAATTACAAAATAAAACACAAAATGCTGGGTCAGAGACCCAGCCTGTGACAGATGTTTTTAAATGCTCAAATAGTTTGTTCTTTCGCAACTGCCTTTGATGTTGTTATGCGATATGGAAATCTCTGGCAAGATTTTTGGAAGTGTTCAGAACATGGAACAAGGAATTAAATAGGCAGTTCTGTCATTCAAACATTTTACTACAAGTCTCATGATGTTGTTTATTTCTACAGATCTTGAAGCTTTGTCCAAAGAAGAAGAGCTCCGCGGCCTACACTTTCTGCAAAGCCATGGGACTACTTGGCATGCAGTTTCACCTTTTTGAAAATGAATGTAAGTCACAGTGCTGGTATGAAAGAAAATCCCCTCTTGATATCTCCTTAAGTCATTGCTAAAATCTACCATTTCCAAGCTTGCACAGAGAAAAAAATATCTGTCGAAATTCGAAGCGAACAAGGACTGTATAATTTGTTGCTTTATCTTAAAGGGCTTTTTTTAAGCACAATAGTCTTTTTATTTTTTTCTGACAGCATCAAACTAGTATCAGTTTTATTCCAATCTTGCATTTCAATTTCTGGAAATGTCATTCTCCCAGTCCCATTCAATACATGCTGCATGACATTTTTGCAAGCAAGCCCAAGTTTGCAGCTCAGAGTGACCTTTAGAAGTCTTTTTATGATCACACTTGTAACTAAGACACCCAGGAAAGTAGTTTAGATATGCTTTTCACTCAACAGTTTAATGTACTCCGCAGACTACCCCCATGGAATCACCATCCTCTCACCATTCGGATCAGACAAGAAGCAGGTATTAAACTTCTGTGCTCAAAGTGCCGAGGAGCTGCTCAAGTTTGTGGAAGACCTAAAGGAATCAATCGCAGAAGTGACGGAGATGGAACAGATACGCATCGAGTGTGAGAATCTTTCTAAATTGTCCATATCAAATTATAGAATTGATATAATTTGACAACAATAATTGTTGTTTTTACTTGGAATGATGTTGAGCGTTTGAGTATAATCGTCAACTTTGTGTCTATTCCTTTTGTAGCAATACTCCCTACAACTGAAGAAGGGTCAAATGCTATTACATTTTGCACCAAATCAATAATGTCATATCTTGGGGTGTTAGAGATCTTCTTAGATGTGAGAATCAATATGTCTTTTTTTTTTCTTTTTTCTTTTTTCTTTTTGATATTATGCGCAAACTACTTGTCTGTGTCCCATCTGTGTGGTTTCAGACTGAGTTTTGAAAGAAAAAAAACCCTTCTGATGCACTGCAGCTCAAGCACACTGCAGGGGGGCAATGATACGGAGGTGAAAATAGGTCAGGGCTCCTCAAAGCAGCCAGGCATCTGACTTGCTCGGACTTGTGCGCGCCTGAAATTCTCTAGACAATGAGTCACTGCAACACATGGACAACCTAAGTGTGTCCGCAGCCTAGCTCCTGCCAGTGGGCTTCAAAGAGAGGATCCCTGCTGGGTTTTGATGCAGTTGCCTTACCCTCGATAGAGCGGGAGGCCCTGCAGCCAAGGGGGAGCAGGCAACAACATACGGAGATAGGCAGGTGTTGACAGAAGGAAATTATTATTCTCTTGGAGCTGTGTAAAGGCTGGAATAACTTGTGCTAAAACATAAGAGAGTGGATGTTGGGACACATTTATTATATTTGCAAAGGCAAACTTTTTTCTCAGGTGGTGATAGATAAACATTTTGAAAACAAGGAAGAGCTATCACCTGAACAGACAAACTTCCCATCGTTTTCCTCCAAGGGGCTTGATTTTGTCAGCAGATTAGTAAACAGGCCTGCGGCAAGCTCACTTCTGTTTCGAGTTTCCCTCTTTGAATTTCTTTCCCCTCTCGCTGCTGTTTTTAATAAAGGTAAATTAAATATTGTCGTAATTCTTTGCCACCACAGAATTTCTTAGTTTCGCCACAGTTTAAACCAAATTACTGTACACAGAATTTTAAGCCCGAGCTAATAGTTACACCGACTGAGCGTGCCAGTGCAACAGCATTAAGCATGCAAGCTTATTATTCTTCAGATTTTTGCTGCTTCTTCTTCTTCTCATTATTATTATTCTTACTGATTGGCATTAAAGCTCACTATTTATTAGCTGTCAGATTTTATCTTCTTATTATTATTATTGCTATTATTATTCCACCTAACATTTTGACATCCTTCAGCTTTGAGAACCTCCCACAGAAGTTATACCAAGATCCACAGCTCCAGTGAGAATAGTGGGCTCTGGCTTTTGATAACAATTTGTCATATAGATTTCCATATTTATAATTCAAAGTTTTTTTGGATTACAAGGCTTTGGATTTCTTTCCACAGGAGCAATTTAAGTTTCATAAAGAATTAGATTTAAAACAGAAAAGTGTAGAGATATTGCCTAGAAAATACTTACTTTCACAAATGCCATTAAAGCCCAGCCTTTTCCCACCACCTTGCTTATAGCCAATAAATATAAAACAGGTTTTGGAATTTCACAATAAAAATGTGAAACTTTTGTATTTTATACTTGGGAAGTCTCTGGCACTCGTGATGAATCAATTCTTCCAATATCACTTGTAACTTTTCTTCGAGACCCACTTCCATTGTTTCTCTCAGTTGTTTGGACAGTAGGCTCACACCTCCTGTTCTTTTTACAAGCTTTAGTCACCATAGCAACTGGTGACTGGTGTCACCCTTTCTCTCAATTTAAAACTCATCATGGCTGATCCAGTGGGGATCGGTGTGTCCTGTTTTTATTGACGCTTTGATGCAATTCAGCACAACTGTTGTTCACTGTAAGATCAATTGTAGTCAAAGTATTGTTGACTGACAGGTTTTACAGGAATTTTGCTAGACTTTCAAATGAAAAACTGCTTATCAGGGCTTGTAAATACCACTGGATTTTCAGGACTTTCAAAACAAAAGCTCAAAAGGGATAATAAAAGGTAGCGGCTGCATTAGTGGTTCCTGTTATGACCACTATTATACAAACAAAATGAATTTACATGTTCTGTTCTTTCAAAATGAAATCCACTTCATAATAAAAATGACATTTGAACACTTTTCCAATAGTCCAATTCATACTCTGCATGTTTTTTTTACCTTTCCAATAATTTTAGCCAAATTATACTTGACTGTCAAAATAAAACCTTAAAAAATATTAAAGCTGACTTTTAAGGCTTATAAAACATGACAGTTTTTATATATAATTCATTATCCTGAGGCTCCCTGAGTAGCTCAATTTATGCCTACTGCTGTGGCCTTTAAAAATAAAATGTCCCTGATATCTTTTCACTGTCTCTTTATCTAGCTAGAGGTACTTACATTAAGCTCCCAATACTTTTGCAATGTCCAGAAAAAAATTCTTATTATCTGATGGTTCATCATAAATCATCATCCTGTTACATCCTGTTAACTGCTGACAACTCAAATGGCAGCAGGTATATTAGCACACTCAAAATGTCTTCTTTTTTTTTTTTTTAGTTTTAGCTTTTTCTTACTTATACTCACCAGCCACCTTCAGTACATCTTAGGTACACAGATATATATCAAGCCAAACAAGTGGCAACTCAATACATGCAGATGTGGTGAAGATGACAGAGGTCAGAGGAGAGGCAACAGTAACTTGTTACAATCAAGGTATGCAAAAGAGCATTTCTGAATGCACAACACCCCCCTTAAAGCAGATTGGCAAAAGCAGCAAAACTATTAACAGCTGTTTGGCTAACAGCAAATTATTATTAAAGACAGTGAGAGATTGTTAACTATAGTATCTTCTCAATGCATGCTGCTAGGCACTGTTAAGATGTTGTTATGCCAGGCATGCATTCGCCTAAAACAGCTGGGCTTAAATTAGGTTGGTCCAACTGCTGTACAGTCAATACTGAGACTGGTCTTTCCAGGGTTTAACTAAAGTTACACAGATCACTGACATTGATAACAGGGAATAGTCCTGCGTGTTAATCCAACTTTACATTATGGACATTTTCCCTCTTTAATACGGAAAAGTGCATATTAAAATCATAATGCTTTGGTAATGAGCCATAGTGTTTTAATAATGTTTAGTAATGGAAAAAAAAACATAATTATAGCCACTATAAGAATTTTATTGAAAGTACAACTACATTTCAAACCAAGCAATCGTTTTATTGTTGGATTTTTCATCAGTCATAGTAGGTGTGGTATTGCACATGTGACTTTACAAGAAACATCCAAGTAAATTACTGATTCAGTACAATGCAAATAAAGACTGTTATTTATATTTTTAGTTTTCTATCGATGGAACTTGAGCTTACTTTTTTTCTTCCGTTTATCTCTTAGTCTCAGAATGCGGACATGTTGTACCGCACCCTCAAAGTCTCACCTGGCAGTTTTGTGGCTCAGCATCAAAATTAGAATGCAGTGTTGTGTTGGAAACAAAACAACATTTAGTCATGATGATTGGAAATGACATGCAATTACCATCAAGTGTGAAGTTTAATTAGCGAGATGAAGAGGTGTGTGTTGAGACTGGAGAAGAGAGTGGGTGGGAGAAATGTGCATGAGTGTGTATGTGTGTGTGCTCGCTTTTGAAGGAAAAACATTTCCTGGTTAATTTTGTTGCTCTTACCCATCATCATCCACCAATCTATCAACTTCCTTTCTCTCTCTGCCATGGTGATTATGAGGATGATCATTTTTGTTTTCTGCTCTCTGCAGGGGAGCTGGAAAAGCAGCAGGGAGCCAAGACACACTCGGTAAAGAACAACGGTACACAGCTAGAGCTTCGTGGTAAACAGGGCTCCCCATCAGGTGTGTGTGTGTGTGTGTGTGTGTGTGTGCATACTGTTGCTTATTGAATCCCACTGGAGAGACACCAACTGCGCTGTTAATTTGTTTACCTGCTGCTGTTTTTATGAACTTGATCATATCTTCAAAAACTAGGCACTACCTGTAGCATTTAACATCAAGAACACTGTGTAATTTAAGATGTGTACAATGCTTGTAAAGACTGTAAATGCGCAAAAATCACCTTTAGCTAAGCCTCGCCTAGTTTCAGGTGTAGTTACTAGTCCTCCAAAGTCACATGAAATGGGGTATAGTCTTTCAAACAATGTCTTTCTCAAAGTAAACTAAACTGGGCTTCTCACTTCTACTTCTCTCTTTCACAGCTTACTAGTTGTTATGAAACTGTCTCACTTTAAAAAGAGAACCAGGTGAAAGGGTCTTAGAGCTACACTTAATGAATACAAGCTCAATAAATGAGAATTCAAATTAGATTTTTTTTTGTGTAACAGGGCTTTTTTCCCCCCTTTGATCTTGAAAGAATGAAATATTCATAGTACTCACAATACTTTCTACACCATATTATGAATTACACTCAATGGCCTCTTCATTAGATATATCTGATCAACTCCTTGCTAGCACAATTATCTAATCAGCCAATCACATGGCAGCAACTCAACTCAACGGTCAAGATGACCTGGTGAAGTTCAAACCAAACATTAAAATGGTGAAGGAATGTGATTTAGGGGACTCTGAAGGTGTTATGGTGATTGGTACTAAACGGCCTGGCCTTTTACAAACTGTTGATCTGCTGGGATTTTCCCATACAATCAGTTCTCTGGATTAAAATACCTTGTTGATGCCAGAGTTCAGCAGAGAAAGTCCAGAATAAGGAGGAATATATCTGATTGTACAACCTGTCAAACCTTGAAGTAAATGGGCTACAGAAGCCAAAGACCCCGACATTCAATGGTAGGGTCACAGCCACGTCAAAGAGGTCAAACCACCTCAAACTGGTTTCTTTAACATTTGCACTCTATGGACTCTACATTCACCAGAGATCAAAAAATAGGTCGCTTTTGCGATGAAAATCTCATCATGCATGTGCAGCCAACAAATCTGCAACAACTGTGTGATGCTATTATGTCAATATGGACCAAAGTTTCCAGCCCCTGCTGAATCTGTGCCACTGAGTATTTAGGCAGCTCTGCAGGCAAAACAGAATCAAAATTGGAACTTAGCAAGGTGTATCTAATAAAGTGGCCAGTGAGTGTATCTGTCAAGGTTGTTGCCACTTGTCACGGTTTGGTGCTGTGGCGGACAGGATGAGGACCCAAATAGAAGGGTGAACTTAAAGAAGCAGCTGTATTGCACTGTGCAGACACTCGAAAGATAAACTCAGGACAAATTAAACTAAACCAGGAACTAAGAACTGAAACACTGGAAAACTAGGAACAATGAACTCAGAGCAATGGAAACCGGAAACACAAAGAAACCCGCACAGCAGATGGCGTGGTACAACACGGCAACAAGCGGAAGACTGAGGACTAAAATACACAGGCGGGATGACGAGAGGATGGGGAACAGGTGGAAATACAGCTGGGACTAATCAGACATAATAAGACAGAGGGAAAGCAAAACTCAAAACACTGAACACAGGACACAAGGCTATCAAAGTAAAACGGGAAACAAGAGATATCCACGAAGACACAGACTTGACACTGACTGAGGAGACACAGGGAGCAAGGAACACAGAGCACAGAAACAGAAAACAAGAGACTAGAATGAAACTAATGAAATCAAAGCCTTTTAATAACACAAAAACACTGGGTAACTGACCCAGGTACGACTATGCTGTTACTAGATCCAGCAGTAGATCCTAAAAAGTAGCCTAAAACCATGTAAACGTTTTGCATTCATTTTTAAGTAATTTTAAAAATAAACTTTTATTTGTCATGAACACATAAGGTTGTATAACCAAAATCTTCTTATCGTCTATTCATGCTTCTCCCAAAATGCTGATGCTAAAGACATATGATAATAAACACTGTTTTATTGGGCACTCTTCTGAATGAGGTTACAAGGTGGCTTCCGGACAGCAGTTCAGTATGTGAGGCTCTGTGAGTGTGTTTGAATCATAGGTACACAGAAGGGAGAGAGGGACAGCCTGTGTTCTATAGCCATCCCAATAACTGCAAGCCATAGGATATTTCACATCTTTGAGTTCAAATTCAATAACTGCAACACCAAAACACAGGAGATATTATTCCTTACACTCATTCTGAACTGGAGCACTTGTTTCCTTCCTTCCTTAGCATTCTTGTACTATGCTGCATCCAAGCTTGAAGATAGACACATTTGTTCCATTAGTAAAGCTTTAAAGTTGCATGAATGCAGTTGTGAGTGTGATGGTATTTCTAGGTGAATGATTTTCATTACTGGTATCTTGTGTTTATGTCATTTGTCCTCATAAGAGAGCTTGACATCAGTAGCATTTTCTTAATGTGTGAGGCTAACTAATTGCATGCATGGCATTATGATAAAGACACAGGAGATCAGACTGTTTCATTTTAACACAGTAATGACTTGGAGGGTTAGCATTACTTGTAACAGGTTAAATTTATACTTTGTTAACATTTTTCCTATTTTGCAAGAGAGGATAAGTGATAGTTTTGGCTTTTTGTGGAGGGTAGCTTCGCCAACTCCAATAAAAAGAGGTCAGTTACATGAATAAATTCTGATGTGGCAGCATCACAGACTATAACTACAATTGATGTAAAGTTAATGGTGTTTATAGACTACCTCTACAGCAGCAAACATCCTTAAAATATGCTGTTTATGCCATTCCTTGAGATTTCAAGAGCCTGCCATGAAAAGTCACTGATGCTAAGCTCTGATTGTACATTTGCTTTTTAGAGAGGGGTTTACTGAATTTTCACTTGCTTCTAGAAGTTCTTCCGCAAAATAATTGATTGCATGCTTGCTTCAAGCAACTCTAAAATTCCTTATCTTTATCTTGGAAAAAAAGAGTGATTTTGCCACCACCTTTGTCCCTTTTTCCCTTCTGTTTTCCCCCCTGCAGGACACCAGGAGATAGATGACAGAAGTGGACACAATGCAGTAGAGGTAAGTGCCTAATAATAGGCTTATGTCCCAAACGACAGGTAAGTGAGTGCAGTGAGAGTCTTTGCAGTGGCAGTATCGAGGTAGGACAAGATAAACTCAGGAGTATCTTTAGGATTAGAAGCGTCAAGCAAGTGTGGGTGAAGAGTGCGTGAGAGAACGAGTGCTGCTGGGTAACGTGCAGCGGGCATGTGAGGTAACCCAATCAAACAAAATATTAGATAAAAGGACTCCTTTGTCGTGTAAAAAGTAAATATGATGGCTCAGGAGAATTAATACACTCACAGCGGTCAGAGCAGGTTGTCCTCACGCTGAAAACACATCAGGCTTAAATATTATCTGGAAGCCAAAAAAAAGAAATAGGTTGTAATTAGTTTCGCAAGCTCAGGCAGAAATTGTGACTCCTTTGGGGCCTTTCAAGAAAACGAAGAAAAAAAAAGGCTGGGGAAAGCTGAGGACATGTGTGAAATGCATTTACTGTGTGTGTACCCGCATGCAGCATTGAGACCTTAATTAACACAGCAGCATGCAGGCGGATAATTTTAACGCTCATTTGACCTGGAATGGTCGCCTCCCCACCCTTTTGCCAGACCTCGTGTGAACATTTTGTGCAAGAAACACAGGAAATGGAACTACACAGTATGTGTATCCTTGAAGCATCAGGTGACCTTTATTAGCCTCTGTTTTTTGTGGCTCTGGAGTTTAGGCTTGGATTGAAAAGTCAAATACACGGGGTCAATTTGACATTCAGTGGCTGTTTAATTCCACACAGCCACTGGTAATATGTTACACTGTATGTCTTTTGCTCAGGTGCTGGCTCAAGCAAATATAATTCATAAGTTCTATCAGATGCTTCATAGTCATAATAATGAACTATTATCGGCTTTAATTTGAAAACATGTGCAGTCACATCATTGGCGTTATAGATTCCAGAGTGCTTGTGATACAAAAGCCATTCAACAAACTAGCAAGAAAAAATTAGAGTGCAAATCAAATTATAAGACTAAGATTTTAGCTGTAGTAAATTTGGACATACTCCAATCCCAACAATGTGTTTTTTTCAACATTTCTTTGCACAGGGTTGGCTTCAGGTCATTCTCGTTCCATTTTTTTTTCATTTGTGTGCCTCAGGTCAGTTCTACCTCAGGTCAATCTTCATGGTTGTCTGAACTACCTTCACCAGCCATCTTGCTCTCTGCCATCCAGCCTACAGTAGCCTAAATGTCAGGGGCTGGTGGGGAGCCACTAGCTGTCCAAACACATTTATCTCAAAAACCAGGAGGGTCCACTCCAAAAAAGCCTCTTTATACTAGAGGCAGAAATCTAAGGATACCAAATCCTGCGGCAAGCTTTTAATCTTAGATTTGATAAGGTGATGAGATTCTAACGTTACTATCTGCCTCAGAGCAGTGACAACAAGCCGACTGTGTTGTTACAAAATGGCTGTTTAGTTGTTTTTAAAATCCTGTTTTTGTCAGAGCCTTTAAGCTTTCGAGAAAAAAAGTTTATTCAGTGCTGTGCACAGGTCTTGAGCCACCCTTTATTTCTTCATATTTTGCAAGGAACATGGCAAATAGGTGTGAAGATTTATTTAAACATGTGCAAAAATAAATGGAAACCTAATATATAAGTCAAAAAGTTTGTGCACGTCTAACGTGCTTGAAAGTCAATATTTTAGATGAACACATTTATTCTTCAACACAGCCTGAACTCTCTTAGGTAAGCTTTGTTGTCATTTCTTTAAGTAGTCTTCAGGAATAGTTCTCCAGGCTTCTTGAAGGATATTCAGAACTCTTCTTTGGATTTTGACTGGCTTTTGTTCTATTTTCTGTCAAGATGATCCCCCACTGCTTCAGTAATGTTGAGGTCTGAGAGGACCTATGTCTGATAATGTTCCATTGAGTGCTTTTATATGCAAGTCTTTGTATGATGCATAGAGCGAGAAGCAGGGTATACCCTGAACAGATTACCAGTCTGACGCAGGGCTACTGATGCTGATCTGAGCCAAAAGTTTTGGATTTGTTACTCTATAAGACTTTTTTTCCACCTCTTATTGCTTTTGCGCCAAGCTGCTGGACTTGTTGAGTGTAGAAGAACCAGATGTAAAAATCCAAATCTCTAATTACACCTGCTGCAAAATAATGGCTTTAGAGCCCAAAGACAAACTTGTGCTTAGTACAGATACATGCAAAGGCATCCTTTTGGGCTTAAACTAATGAGCTTTTTGTGATTCTTGACTAATTTGGACCATCTGTTAAACAAATCTATTTTTTACTGAGACAAAAAAAACTTTTGAAAGGCACAAGAAAGTCATTTAAATCCTTCACTCTTTATCTGAAGTGATTTAGAGCTCACTGATACTGTATGGTAAGTCATCAAGAAGAAGTGACTCTTGGCACATTCAAAAGGAGAAAATGTTAATTGAGTTCTTTCGTACAAGAGTCACACCGACTGCTTTAAAAGAAGGGACGAACACTACTGTAAGACCTTTCTAACCTTAAGATACTTCAACTTCAAAGACTATTATATTCACACAGCCGGCATTCTGAAGAGGTTTGGTGGTAAAATATTTTCTGATCGACACATTAAAACTGGAAGCATATGTAGATAGTTGTGCTGTGGTTAAGAAGCTCAAAATACATGTAAAAAGTCCCAAACTCTTAATATACACTATTATACACTTCCATGTAGGAGACTATGTACTGTGATAAAAGTCTTGAGTTATACTTTATTTCTTTATATTTTGCAGAAACCTAACTCCACCACATAACTCAAGGAATGAATCAGTGTTGTGTCTGCATATAACAAACAATTCTGCAAAGAAACAATTTTAAATGGTATCTTTAGGCACTTTGTAGCCTGTCAAAGCATAATTTGTTCTTTGTTCTTTAGCTGAATCCATGAAAAATTCAAATCATATCACATGCCTTTTATCCCCTGGAGAGCAATAAAAGAAAGTTTTGCAGTGATTCCCAAAGTACTTTTTGCCAAAAACGTGGGATATACCGTAGCGTGTCCAAAAAAAATATTTGAGAAAAAGGACCTGACAGAATTGTGCAACTGTTAGACAGAAAGCACATGTGTAGAAAAAGGTGCTGGTGTGAATGAGGCAAGTTGTACAAAGCAGCGCCAGTCCAGTTACTATGTAGCTAGGTTAGGAGACAGACATAACAGTGACTTTCTGCATGTGAAATATGCTGGAGGTTCTGTAATTTGTCTGGGGCTGCATTTCAGCTAGTGGTGTTGGGGATCTCCAGATTTTGATTCAGCATGCAATACCTTCTGAAATGTGTCTCATTGGCATACAGGTTCATTTTCATATATAGCTTCAGTATGACAGTCATCCCAAACACAGCCAATGCATTTAAAGCATATCTGATTGAAAAATCACATGATGGAACTCTTAGTCATGGATTGGTCTCCCCACTGCCTGAACCTTAACATTGTTGAAGCAGTGTGGGATCATCTTGACACAGAACAAAACAAAAGGGAGCCAACATCCAAATAAGAGCTTTCAATGTCCTTTAAGACCCCTAGAGAACTATCACTGAAGACTCGTCTAGCAGTCCACCCGACTTCCACGTTCAAATGTTAGATTTATATAAATACACCATCGGGGTACTTTTTGCATTAATTATCTCCACCGTACACAGTGTGCATTTCAGATTGTGCTCAGTTCCTTGAATTTCTTGCCATATGTTTTCGGAGATACACATTTCTGAAACTCTGAGACGTTATACAATTCTGTAAGTAGGCTGCATAAAAAAAGATAGTAAAGGAAGAGAGATAAAGGGGGGGAAAGCTGAGGGAAACTGCCTATAGAAATCAGAGTGCTGAAACAAATGGGACATCTGGAGGTTTGCATTCTAATTGATTGTTGCCTGTGGACGTCTGTGGTTGTCACTCTGCTCACTTCCTCTCCTCCTCTTCTTCCACCTCTCCCTCTTCTTCGTATGACCTTGGTCTGTTCTGCTTACCTCGACCCACAAGTCTCCTCGTGTTCGCTGTCACCGTAGTGCCACACAGTGGTTTGGAAGGGAGACACGGGGGCCCTCAGTGTCCCCTTTGGAACCACCTGGACCGTCCTCTAGCATCGTTCTTATCCCCATTCCCCACCACTATTACCAATGACGCCAGTCACACACACTGGTGTTCCCAGCATCCAGCACTGTTCCCAGTACCTGTGGGGGTGGAGGGAGGGGAGAATATTGTAGTCACAGAATTTTACACCTCCACCGATCCTTAACACCTAAGCCCCCACGCATGCCCCGTGTGTGTGTGTGTGTGTGTGTGTGTGCTGTGCGTTCACTCCCCCCACAAAAAAAGAAAAAGAGGGCTTGACGGATTGTAGAGGAGGAACCAGTTTTATAACATTTGATGCTGTTCTCTTGGCTGTTTTCTAAACTAGGTGTCAATTCACAACAGGCTTCAGACGTACCAGCTCAGCAGCAGCATGGCTCGGAGCCCCGAGAGCGCGGCCCTTCTTAATCACCGGGGAGAGGTGCTTTTCCAGCAGGGGCCCCAGGGGGTAACCCAAGGGCCTGCGCCTCCACCACAGCACCTGCAGCTGCAGTCAGCGGCAAGCACTCCCGCCCATCATCTCCCCCTCCAGCAGCACCACCAGCCCTGTGTCAGCATGGCTGACCTGCGGCCTGAGGCGCTCATCCAGTGTCAGCAAATTGTCAAGGTCATCATGCTCGACAACAGCAGCCATGGACGCATGGAGGCCTTCCTCAGCCAAACGCCCACACACCACCACTACCAGCATCACCATCACCACAGCCACCATCAGCTTAGTCACTCCGCCATGTCCACCCCTGTCCGCTCGCCAGACGGTTCACACGGCAGCGACGGCCACCAGCCCCCACTGCCTCCCCCGCCTCCACCTTACAACCACCCGCACCAGTACATACCCCCAGACCCCCGCCTCAGTCTACACCGGACCCCAAGTGGCTCTCGGAGCATGGTGTAAATAAATGAATTCAAATTTTTCTCCCTGAAAGACAGACACATACTTCCACATAAACCCTATCACTTCTCTTCCTATCTAACAGTACATATTGTACATATATACATACAGATGAAGCTATAATGAAAAAAATAAAAATCCCACTTATATGCATAAATTTAAGGAAAAAAAGATTTTAAAAAAAATAAGGTTTTAAAAGAGATAAGAAGAAATATAGTGCGTATATAAAGTTTTACTTGATTCCACATGTATTTTGAAATATTATGTAGTTTTAACAAATTTCTATAACTTTTTGTCAGTTTTAACTCTAGAGAAAACTCACTGCTATTCACTTCATGGATGGATTCCTTCCAGTTCCAGTATTTATCAGCAACAACAGAAACACACGAATCCCTCAAATCTTTTGAATTTTTCTTGTAATGGATGGAAAGACATCAAGGATCTTCTGCTTCTGTTCGCTTTATCATCCCAAGCCTCATGCCTACTGTGCTGTATGTGCACACGTGCGCATAGCTGACACTTAACTGAAACTCTGTGCCAAAATACATATGCCTCCACTAAACACTGACTTCTTTGCACTTGACTAAATGCTAGGGCTAGAAGAAAAAAAAACACACTACTCCTTTGCTTTGAGAAAATAGTCATTTCAGGCTTCTTGTTCAAGGAGCAGAAAAAAGAAAAAAAAAGAATAGCAAAACTGATATTTCATAAAAAGTTATCTACCCATTTGCGCTGTTGCTTATTTATTTATGTGATGGAGGGCCTTCTCTCTTCTCCACTCCCCCGGATTTAAAAAAAAAAAAAAAAAAAGAAGCAAAAATGACATTCTCCCGATAAGCTGTCTTTGTCATCCTCTCCTCCGTTGTGTTGTGGCTCTCTATCTTCAGAAAACATTCTCACCCAATTGTTGCTCTCCATATATCATTCTACAGTGAAGGATGACAAGAACCAAAGGCGACCAATCATATAGATTGCTGCCGAGCCAAAAAAGTTAACCCAGGATGCTTCTGTTGATTGATGCTCGTCTCTTACTCTTCATGTCTAACATTATTAAGGCTTTCCAGGAATTCTTGCCCCTTTTGTCAGCTGATGGAGGGAAGGTTTTGTCTTGTTTTTCAACATTTTGAAAATGTCTCATCGTCTGAAATGGCTCTAAAGCTACAGTGGGTTCAGATGTTAACAAAAACTGAAAAAAAACAACACAATGTGCTGTCATCGGTTATCAAATGTGTCGTCGCTATATGTTTTTTTTGTTCCAAGAACTCACCCGAGAATTTCTGTTAGGACGCTACACTTTTTAAATGTCGAGATGTGTGTTTATTTTAATTTGCCATTGTGCCATCATTGTGTGTTTTCCGTTGGTGGATAAATGTCGGGCAGAGTCCACCCACAAAACATCCAGACGCTGTCTCTTTACGTCGCTACGACTGCCAGCTTTTGTTCCAGATCCTTGTGACTGTTTTCTCTGCCGTGCTAACCTTTCATTTTGACATTTTCAAAAAGGCAAAAACTACATGGAGCTTATACTGCAAAAGCTGGCATTAGTGGCATTGTTTGTGCTGCTGGCTATCCTGCTTTAAATAAGAATGGAAGGGAGGGGAGAGAGAAAAAAGAATGCATTATCTGATCTCTTTCTATTTCACCTCAGCTTAGATTGTAAATACCACATTCAAAGAGTCAGAAAGGACAAGCAAGCTACCTTTAGCCTCTTCAAATTGCTATTGCCCTGTCAAGCATCCGTCATTCTGAAATAGGTCAGCGACCGCCATAGCCTGAATGCGTTCATCTTTTATACATAACCCCCACCAGGTACTGTGAAATGGATGTTCAGTTAACTCTGTTCTCATCTGACCTCCATCTGTGTGATTTGTTGATTTATAATCACAGAGCCAATGCGGGGAGGTCTCTATCTCATCTGTCTGTCCTGTTCCACTTAGGATGTCACCCTGTGAAAAGACAGCGGTTGGACAAAAAACACAAACAAACAAACAAACAAAAAAGCTTTCTGTTGTTGTGGTTGGCAGAGATGAGTGTGTGTGACCTACTCACAGTAGCATCCTAGCTTTCCTGTAAACAAATCCGTCCTCGCTCCTGTTTATCCCCGTAATTGCTTTTGTTATTATTTCATAACACAATGAGAGGAATTACAGCTTTCAAAATGAATCAAGAGCTGTGATGATTCATTTAACACATTTACTGGCTACATTGTAGAAATGAACTTTTGAAGGTTATGTAATAAAATTTAGAAACTATTCTACTATTATGAATTTTACCTTGATTGATGATGATTGTACGGTTGCTGATTTATTTGTTTGAATCAGCTTTCAGAAATTACATGATTGATTTTTTTTTTCTTCTTCTCATGCATGTCAGTTCCAAAGCTTATTGAACCCTTACTCCCAAAATCTGGAATTTGTGTATGAAAGACTTTGCTGTGGGAGGTCAATTTTTTTTTTGTCACGATGAAAATGAAAATTTTTGTGGTGGAATTTAAAAAACAGACATGGATTTTTATTCTTTTTTTTCTTTTTTTTGTTACGATGACAAACACCCCTTCAAATACAAATACGAATGGCTTCTTTGGGCAAATATGTTTTTGTGCCTCGAGGCAAATCAAATGCTTCTTTCATGGCCATTTTTGCTTGTTTTGTCTTATTTCTATGTATGTTATGACCCTTTCTTTATGGTTGCACATTTTAGTCGAAAGATATGCTGCGTGTGCAAGAAACATAAATATGAGGCGCACTGAAAATGACAGATTTACATTTGCAGGGAAACTAATGTAGCATTTGGGGAGTGTAGCAGATGATATGGAAGTGCAGTAGTGGGTACCTTTCATGAAGAAACTCACAAAAGGGCTCTGCCATACCAGTACATTGCTTCATGAATGACATGTGAATCTTGTCTGGCTTTTCACCACTGTGTTTGCTCATACTAGTAAAAGAAATACAAATAGAGGAAATATTTATGGATAGACAGGTGGAAACTGAGTGCAACATGAACCATCATCTCCCTCAGTTGGCTTTAAAAACCCTCCCTGTCTTTGCGGTATATTAACATGCAATTAAAGATAATTTAAGTCTATACATCACAATGGTTTGCTTTGTTATTGGATTCAGTGGCAAGATCAGTATACTCTGAATTGCCGGGAAAATGCTTATTTTGAAATGTTACACATCACTCAACACAGCATTTTACCTTCACACACTATAAACCCGCACACATAGTTTTCCTCCTACTTTGAGTTTTATGACAAGTAATACAATAGCTAAAGAATACATGGAACAATGAATCATAACACTACTTTTATGTGAGGTGTTTGCTTCTAGTAGTAAATCCACATACTGTAAGTTTGACTTCAGTTTTATGTCACCATGTGGAACTTATCTTTATTAGTGAGTCTTATTGTTTTCAGTAACAAGCAGGTGTTTTCTCTGAAAAAGTAAACTACCTGCCAAGGAAGAGATAGCGAGTAGAACAGTGGTTGATATCACAGTGTGAAAACAGCAGCAAAATAGCAAGATATGTACATTGATTATGGGGGAGAGCAAAAAAGAGCCAACAGGAGTCAGCTGGTTTGTCAAACTTGCAACTACGCGCAACATGAGTGGGAGTGGGTAAGAATACCTCATTGTTTTTATACACCAAGAGACAGCAAAAGAAGACATTTTTATCATTATAAATTATTCTGTTTTTGTCACAAAAATTTTGATCTGAGTATATCTGTTGCAAATTTACAAACCGCGTGGACTAGCATGTCCATGCATGGAAATACAGAAAATAAAGCAATGCTGTACTTTAAGTAACACCAGAAATCATGACTGGTGCCAGTGCTGGAGATATTGCATCGTAGCACCTTCCTTAGTGTCACAGTGTAAAGAACTTTCAGGAATTGCTTAGCTGGGCAATACCGCAGCACATTGAACCTGCCGATGTGTAGCAAAGAATGTCTATTTGCATTTTCTCATTTCTATTTCAGAACACGAATCCGTGCAGGAGACAAAAGTAAAACACTGAAAAGTTGAGCTGGTCTTTTGTTTTGAATTAATGCCATGTTAAAAAGACACGTTGGTGACATTTTTAGAAAAAAGTCATTTTAGGAGAAAAGGCAAATATAGTTGTAGTTACCTTAATAAAGTGATCAGAAGTTTACATACACTCCTCACAGGCATGGATATCATGGTAATATGGGGCTCAGACAGCATATTTAATATTCTTGAAAATAAAAGCTCTGTGCACAAATTTACATTTATTTTGGATTTTCTCTAAATCTGCTACCCTTTCACACTGCATGCTTTGGTAACCATCAACAAGCTATTTGACCAGTCATTTTGGTAGAATTGGTAGAGTTCATTTAAATGGATTCATTTCCTGGTATGAACCGAGCTTTTAAGCATAGTACAAACATTTTCAATAGGGTTGATGTTGGGGAATTGGGAAAGCCATTCCAGAATTTTGTCCTTGGTTGGTCAGTTGTATGATTGTTATCAAGGAAATCATTTTTATTTAGGCAAAATTGAGAGATAAGAAGATAAAATCTATACACCCTGGAAATAAAGTCAAATTACAATAACATTGATGACTGTGAGGAGTATATGTAAAGTTTTGACCACAGCTGTATATACTGAAGTTACTGACTTCTAACTAGCTGATGAGAAATGAAGAATTGACATCCCAAGTGCCAATGGTATACATTTTATTAACATGAACACTGAAGCAATATCAGGGTATATCTTTAATACAGATCATAAAGTTGCAGTCCAAAGAAAACCTTGCTTCACTATATTCAGTCATTTTAAGTTTTACAAACATACTTAAGCATTACGTGTTTTTTTTTATGTATTGATAAAATTAAGCTTAATGAAGCTTTTAAAAACCAAACAAAATTTTGGAGATGAAAAAAGTGTCTTTTCTTTTACTTTTCTTTTTTAAGATGCTTGGTTTTCACATTCACCTTATAAAACAGAGTTTGAAAACATTTATCATGAAAAGTTTCATAGTTTAAAAATACACTTAATACAAACATAGACTGTTTATAAAATATGGATGTATCCAACCCACTAGTTTATTGACTTCCGCCTCTGCATTTTTGACATCACCCTATTTTACCATCTGTTTTACTCTAAATCTGACCATTATAT